AAAAAAAACACCCCCCCCCCACAATATTAATATTAATATATATTATTATAGTATATTAATTTGAAAAAAAATTTTTTACACAGATGCTTGTTGCAACAATGCACACCATGAAGAAAGCTAAAGGTGGTCAAAATTAATTTCAGTAATGATTGGCTTGGCCCCAGACCCACTGATGTTATTTCTTGTCATTATTTACATGAATGCCTTCCAGTCTACAGGGGTTAAAAGCAAAAAAAAATCCTGAGCCTGAACTTTTTTCCGGGGGTTGCAGGGGCGGACACATAAACAGAATTATTTGGCAAACAAAAAAAGAAAATTATTTCAAATTTCTGAAATTGTTTTGTTCAAAAGAAATAATGGTCAATTAAATACTAGGAAATGAATATAAAATAGGAAATATACAAAGACAGTTTACTCCAGAAAACTACAGTTCAGTTCCGTTAACAACAAAAACATTAAAATGGTCCAAGAAATGGTAACTTAAACAAGGTTCGTACAGATACTTCAAAATAAAATTCCAGGACTTTTAAGGACTTGCACTACTTTTTTGGTTTTCAAGGACTAAAATCAGATCTCACTTATCAATCAATATTGTTATTATCTTTCAAATTCTAATAAATAAACTAATAAAACAAAATGGTACAAATAAAGTGCAGCACATGCAACGAATGCAATGACTGTGGCAACTTTAACATTTGAAAGGATACTATGGCAAAGTTTTCCTTATTCAAACTGATTTTTTTTTTCATGAATATATGATTGACCTGAAGAGTGAAAGGTAGATCATAAACTTGGAAAATTATGAGCTTTATCACGCTCATAGACTCTAGAGGTGTGACAATACACTTAGCTCACAAGGTGAGACAAAATGCAGATACTTGGTTCACTAGAACGAGACAATGTTTTAATACTTCAAGAAATTTTCAAATGACAAAATATTTGTCTTTTAATTACAAAAAGTAAAACAATGTAGTTGTATTTTGAAATGTTTTAACTAATCTAGTGCTTAACTAATCATTATTTTTAATATTAATATTAATATTATTTTAATATTATTTACTTTAATATGACGATATTTATATATAAAGTAACGATGAGGCAATAATAATTGGCTCAAATAAAATATCAAAACTAAGAAATTACATGATTGTATTGAACAACACTGTTAAAATACATAATGTAATATGCCTA